ATGAGGCAAATGAAAGGAAAATCTGTTTCTAGCCTTTTTAATTAAAATTTCTTCCACCATTGCTCTTTATTTTAGGTTGTGATGTTTAAGAAAAAAAAAAGAAATAAAGATAAACAGCTTCCCTTACTCAGCCAGTTACACTCAAAACCTGCATTTGCTCTTCATCCTGATAAGATGTCCACCTCCATACTTTGAGGACAGTGAAAATGGCAGAGTGCTGCTTCAGTGGCCTCTGCCCCAGGACCACCGGAAGCATTAAGCAGAACTGCTGAGAAGCAGGAATGTAATGGTCTATCTAACGGGAGGTTCTAGGCTCTAGCTGCTTACCTCTTCTGATAACACCTGCACCGCTAACATTGCCCTACATTTATGTGGTGTTTTAGTTAAAGGTGTGATTTTACAAAACAGACGCATTTCCTCCTCCTAACATCCTTCTGAGTTAGACAGGACAGAAATTGTCATTCCTTCTCTGTTTTTGCAGATGAGGGCTCTGAGGCCCACCGAGATGAGTGACTTGTCCAGAGTTACAATGCTGTCAGATGAGCAGCACACAAGGATGGGAACCCAAGTGTCCTGCCTTGTGTCCTAGCACACCTTCTCCTGAATCACGCTAAGACTGAGCGGTGAGAAAGGATCATTTGTAGATTAGGTGGAAGGTTTTTGTTAGAAGTCAGGAGCCCTCCAATCAGGAGGGAAGGCAAAGAAAACCATCAAAATGAAACAGGAGCTTGTATATATCTCTGGTGAGTCTCACAGTCCCTTGTTTGTTTTAAATACTGTGGAGGACAACTTGCTTTGCCTGTGGAAGGAATTTGAGCAGATCCAGGCCCTGCTTCGAGTTTCCCACACTGCCAGAGACTCGCTGTCGCTGTGGTCAAGGAAACAGCATCTGTTGGGCAGTTTCTTTTTGAGAAAGAGATTATAAGCCTGCCCTCCATTTTCGTAGTGAGTGGTGTTGAAGTAAGCCTTTTATTTTATACAAAAATGGAATTTCATTCTTTACAACTGTTCTCACTTTTTACTGGAACTCATCCCCACTGTGGACAGAATAACACATGAAGTTGCCAACTAAAGATCCAAATTTTAGTCTCCTTTGGAATGACTCTTTTTTTGGTGTGTGTGTGGCATGGATGAATTGCTCAGTCAAGTAAAAATTTAAACTCTGTACCAGGCCTATATCTCCCTTCGCAAAACTTCCACCTCTCCGCTTCTAGTCTTAAACAAACAAAAAAAACCAAACCAACTGCCATCAAGTTGATTCCGACTCATGGTGACCCCATGTGTTATAGAGTAGAACTTTGCCATAGGGTTTTCTTGGCAGTAAACTTTACAGAAGGAGCCCTGGTGGCGCAGTGGTTAAGCACTCGGCTGCTAACTGAAAGATCGGCTGTTTGAACCCACTGTGGGAGAAAGATGAGGCAGTCTGCTTCTGTAAAGATTACAACCTTGGAAACCCTATGGGGCAGTTCTGCTCTGTCGTATAAGGTCACCATGAGTTGGAATCTACTTGACAGCAATGGATTTGGTTCTTTTTTGAGTCTTTATGGTATCAGATCACCAAGTCTTCCTTGGTGCCACTGGGTGGGTTCAAACCACTAACCTTTAGGTTAGCAGCTGATTGTAAACCACTTGTGCCACCCAGGGACCATCTGCTTTCTGTCTCTATAGATTAACCTATTTTGGACATTTCATGTAAACAGGATCATACAATAAGTGGTCTTTCATGCCTGACTTCCTTCACTTAGTAAAATTATCTTACCAGACAGAAATTATTGGATATCTACCAAACAAAAATCTGCAAGTTAACATATAATTTCACAGTGTATATGGTCCTTAATCAATGTTGTTACTAGATTCAGTTGAGTCGATTCTGACTCTTGACGACTCCATGTGTGCAGAGTAGAACTGTTTGATAGGGTTTCCAAAGCTGTGACCTTTTAGAAGCAGGCCTGTCTTTTGAGGTGCCTCGGGGTGAATTTGAACTGCCAGCCTTTCTGCTAGTGGTTGAGCACTTAATTGTTTGTGCCACTGTAGTCAAATAAAGGTATATCCTTTAGAGAACCAAGTATTCTTTGGGTGGGCCTATTAGACAGTGCTCCATGATGACATTGAAAGGACATGCAGTCTTTCTTTTGTCTTACTTCCAAGAATAAGAGTGAGTTATTCAATGGTGTTGACATAATTGCCTACCCATGTGGGAAAAAAGTAAATTTAGCTTCCTACGTCAAACAAAACACAAAAATGGATTCCAGATGTATGTGGGTGCATTTTATTATTTTATCTTCTCTATGTCTTTGAAACATTCCACATAAAAAAATAAAAGGAGAAAATAAGTTCTTGATAATGGAGCTATCTTCTTTTTCACTAATTCAACAAGTATTTGAGGGCTCCCTAGGTGGTGCAAATGGTTAACTCTCTCATCTGCTAACAGAAAGGTTGGAGGTTCAAGTCCATCCATTGAAAATCCTATTGAACATAGTTCTACTCTGACACACATGGGGTCACCATGAGTCAGGGAGGACTCAATAGCCAACTGGCTAGTGATTTTTGGTTGAAAAAAATCAATTTGTAGAACGATAGGCACATTGTGATAGTTTATATAAATTTAAAAAATGATATTAGAGAATGTCTGGGACTTCATATACTCGTGCATACAAGTGTAAAGGATTAAAAAGGCTCTAATCTAAAGTTCTATATGTAAGGAAAGATTAATAAAATGTGATAATATTTTATTAATAATTATTAAGGTCTGATAAAACAAGTATGTTGCGCCAGGTAAAGGTAATATAATTGTAGCTTTAAAAGATAATTGATTTTAGCAGATCTTAATAAAATTTTATTGTTTTCTATACACTGTTTATCAAATCACTGGGGAAAAGATGTGGTCTTTTAAAACTGACCTTGGGAGAGATATCAAAAGATTAAGAAGAAAACCACATAGGACTGTCTATAAATAGCACTGTCAAATTATAAAGGAATCAAAGAATTAAATATTAAAAAGTAACAGCGCTGGTGAAACTATAAGCTTATATGTAATCTTTGTGGAGAAAAGGTTTTTCTAAGTATACCATCAAAATCAAATGTTAAAGGAAAAGTTTGGTAGTTTTGATAAAATAAAAATTAAAATCTCTGGTATCAAGGGAGAATTTTGTAATCTAAATGCTAACGAGAAATAGGGAGTCATTTTTGCGGTATATCTTGCAGTCCAAGTTTGCCAGCCCTGGTAAATGAATCTGTAAGAGAGCAGATGAGCAAGAATGGTCCAGAAGGTAGACAAACCTTTGACTGTTGTCTCTTCCTATTTCCTGCTTGTAAACAGACTTGTCAGTCTTGTTTACACAAGCACTTCCTCTCTTCTCCTAATAAAAGGTTTCTGTAATGGAAAGAACCTTCCTTAAAGCTACATTTTCCCTTGTCTGTGGAGTTTTCTGAGGACCCCTGGTGGCAAAACGGTTAAGCATTTGGCTGCTAACCGGGAGGTTGACGTTTTGAACCTGCCAGCAGCTCTGTGGGAGAAAGGACGTGGTGGTCTGCTCCCATAAAGATTACAGCCTGGGAAACCCTATGGAGCAGTTCTGGTTTGTTGTATAGGGTCGCTATGAGTCAGAATCAACTCGAGGACACACGCAGGTTTTCTGCCCGCCCCTGTCCCTCCCGCTGCCCCCATCCCCACCACCCTTGCAAAGAAGAACCTAGATTTTCTCTTACCTGATGTATGTATATAGGAGCCCTGGTGGTGCAGCGAAGAGCTCGGCTGCTAACCCAAAGGTCGGCAGTTCGAATCCACCAGCTGTTCCTTAGAAACCCTATGGGGCAGTTCTGTTCAGTCCTGTAGGGTCGCTATGAGTCAGAATCGACTCAGTGGCAATGGGTTTTTTTTTTTTTTTGGTTGTATATATAATGTTTAGGGAACTTGAGATATTCCAGGTAAGACGAATGCTGAATGGTGCATGTAAAATATTACAGGACATTGGAAAGTCTGAAAGTTGATATATAATCAAACAGCTACTTAATCTATGGCACTGTACATACTGGAATTAAAAAACAAAAGAACATCCCTAAAGGGAAAATGACTTTCCTTTCTGCCTTTTATGTTAATGGATTTAACTCTTCTTTATGGGATGTATGATGTTAAGGTAAATGGAAGTGGGAGGAGATTGGTGACTAGATTATAATATAGGACAGGGCTTATTCTTTAACTCTTCGTGGAAGTTTTCCTCTCTGAGTGGACCTGTTCCTGTGATGTGTCTGTGGAGGTCTCTCTGGGTCAATAAAGTGGCCTAAGATTCTGCACACCAGATGGGTCTCCACCTTCTTTATGTTACTTCAGCACTCTATAGTGTATAAGCCGGAAATTAGGCAGTTTATTTAAAAAAACAACGCCCCCCACAAAAAAAATCCTCTAAAATACATATCCTTTAACTCAAGAATTTAGGAAATAATTAGGCAAGTGAGTAAAAGTGTTATTAGAGTATTGTTTATAATAACAAAAGTTTGGGAGTTACATACCTGTTCAACAATGAGAAACATGTAACAAATTATGGTCCTTGCATTCAGTAGAATGTTGTACAGACACTGACTGTGATAAAGCAACTCTGTATTTATTGAGAAGAAACGATTCAGAATAAGTAAAGTGTATAATATTCTATTTTATTAAAATATAGAAAAAATATATAGTTTTATTTGGGAAAACATACAAGATAAAATGCTTTTTTTAGGTAGAGTGCAGCTGGGGTCATGATTTCAATTAATTTCTTTTTGTGTAATAAAATAAAAAGAAAAATAAGTTTAGTTTGTTAGGGCTGTATTTTAGGAATGTTCAACAACATGTGACTGAGTAGGTTTTTGTTACTTGCTTTTCAAAATTAATAAGTAAAAAAATGAAGGTGAAGCGTACAAAATAATTAAAGGACTTGTGGACCATCTGTACTTGTATTTGTGTAGATTCTCCTTGTAAGACAAAGACTAAAAACCTCACTCTCTGCCTTTTTAATTAACAGGTCTTCTCCATCAGACATGGAAGGGAGCAGCCACCACTTTACAGCATTTGATTCTAAACAGGCATCTGGCCATCACGAAGCATCTAATTTGAGCAGGTCAGGAAGGGCGTGTGGGCATTCTTGGGAGCCGGGGGGAACATTTGACCCCTTCGGTGAATTGTAGTGTTGATATTAGAATAATACTTTGTGTTTTACAAACTGGTGATGTGATGAGAGGCCTAGTAGGCAGGTAAAATGCCTATTTCACAAATTAGGGACAGAGACTCGGATCTGCTAAGGGACATAGGTAGGTGGCACTGTTAATATAAAAACAAAAATAAAACTAAATTCAACTCTTTCTTGAGTCTTCTTCAGCTTCAAAATTTTCATAATGATTATTTTTATTTTAAGATAATAGAACCAAATTGCAAAACATTAGGGAAAATGGACCACTTCAACACAGACTGTTAGAATTTTGGCATATTTCTCAATCTTTTTTCCCAGGCATGTACTTCCTGATGTAGATGCAGCATAATAGGTTTTTCATTGAATATAGTATTAAAATTATTTTTCTACTTTGTTACATTCTTCTCATAACCATGGCTTAAACATACATTTTAAGAAACACATTTATTATAGAAAACTCAGGAAATATGGAAAAGCACAGAAAAGATAATGAAATATGTATTATTGCTACCATAACTATTTTCTTGAGTGTATATAATTTCTTTTTCTATTAATATATAGATTTTTTTCACTTAGCTAGGATCATATTAAATATACAGTTTAGTAACCTGCTGTTTAAAACTTATTATATCATCACTTTTTCCCTTTCCATTAAATATTTTTCTACAATATCATTTAATTGCTAAGCACCATTCCTTTCCATGGCCATTCTAGGATTATTTTAATCTTGCTTTGAATATGTAGGTTGTTCCTTTATCAGTTATTAAGGCAACTCTTTTAAAGTTATGTTTTAGTACCATGAGAAAGTGCTTTCCATCTATCCTTACAGATTTATTAAACCTTTTTAATTATATAGCAGACCTTTAGCATTTTGGATTTTGCATTTTAATTTTCAGCTATTTGTGAGTTTTCTTAATACGTATGCTGTGGTGGTATTCATGGAGCTGAGGACTTGTCTTAAAAGCCCACCCTCACAGTATAAAGAAGGGGTAGAATATTAGAGGGATTAAGGAATGGATATGAAGTTGAAAATAACTTCTAAGGATCTTAAGGTGTTTATTTTCCATATCACTTTTGCATTCCATATCCCACCACCACCACAAAGAAATCTGAAGAGTGGGAGGCAGTGTTCCTCCTTCACAGTTGTTACCCTTTAACTCTTCTGATAAATTTTTCTGGGTAGCTTCTGCATCAACAGTTACAGTGCTCTCAGTACTGAGTTTGAAAGCAATAATAAGTACTACTGAAAGCAGTAGTAAATAAGGATGTAGCATTTAAAGAGAAAGCTTTAGCATATACATAGTTAGTTGTCATGAACCACAAACACAATTTCTAAGAGACAGCATAAAAAATAAGAATAAAGGAAGGAACCTTAGGGAACACAGTTATTGAAGGGGATGGCTGAGGGAGTGAGAGTTCAAGCAAGAGCTATAGAGAGGTATGAGAGAAAGGAAGACACCTATGAGATGTTGGCACCAGCACAGGTAGGGGATTTGGAATCTAAACAACAGAGCCAGATGTTGCAAAGAGGTCTGCACCCATACAGGCTGAAAAATAATTCTTTGCATTTTGTAGTTAGGTCATCAGAGATCTTTAGCTTGGACAGATTCAAGGAAATTGGGTCAGAAGCCAGGCTGCAGTGGCTGAAGAATGGGAGGTGGGGAAGTAGAGAGAGTGAGCTTCCAGTCTTTTTTTGAAGCCCTTGCCTATGAAGGAAGGTCCGTGGACGCCACAAACAGTTTGCACTCTACTAACCTAAAAGTTGGCGGTTCAAACTCACGCAGAGGTGCCATGGAAGAAAGGCCTGTTGATCTGCTTCCATGAAGGTTACAGCTAAGAAAACACTATGGAGTAGTTCTACTTTATAACACATGGAGTTGTCTTGAGTCGGAATCATCTTGGCAATGGGTTTTTGCCTATGAAGAGAAGGAGTGGGAGGACTTGTGTATTAGGAGAGAAGTTAAGATTGAGGGAAAGTTATCATTTTTTGTTGTTTTTTCTTTAAATTAATATGAGTGAGAGTTGAACATATTTCTAAGTCGAGGGAAAGGGATCGGAGAGGTAGAGGTTAAAGATACATAAAGGGAGAAATGGAGGTGAAATGTAAAAAATAACTAAGCGGCTTCTTCAAGTATAGTATTAGCATTTGCAGATTTCACAGTCTGTTTCTTTTTAAAAACTCAACAGTAAAAATTCCCACGCTGCCTTTTAATCAACAGGTCTTCTAATGCATGTATAAGACCAAGCCCTTATAAACATATTGTGGAACAGCCTAGAAGGACATCTGCAAAGAGGAGCGAAATTTCAGACTTGGACAAGAAGTATGTGGGTGTGGTTCGTACTTAGTTAGACTGTGCAGAAAGTAGCAGCGCTTTCCGAATGTATTATGTTGTTCCATTGTTGGGTTTGTTCCTTACTTTGTGAGGCGTTTAAGAAGGCAGTTTTGGTCACCATTTAACAAATGAGAAACCACGGAGATAAAGTGATGTTCCCAAGGGGCCTCAGCCAGGCAGTGGTCACATTGCGACTTGATGCTCAGTCTTCTCGTTCCCAGGCCAGTATACTTTTAATGAACCCGCTTGCCTCCTTGGCGGCCACAATCCCTCTTGTTTGTTTAGTCTTACAAAGTATTTTGACAACCATAGTGTCTTTCAATTCCTACTTCAACCTTGAAGGAGCCAGGAGAGAATCTTTCCATATAAGGATTCTCATGTCCAGAGAAGTGCATGACCAAGATGGCTTGCAGCTTTGAATTCTGTGCGTCTCAGTTTATTCCCAGTGCCTTTTCTCCTTAAAGGCCACCAGTGACCAAGTTTCAGACATTTGTAAGCTGCGTGTTCATCACTTCAAATCTATTGACGCACTAGTTGTTGAAGCTGCTGATTAAGGTCATGTTTGGAAAACTGAGAAAGGACTTTCCAATCTTACCATCACTTCATCTCCTCACTACATCTCTTTTAATATAGTCAGGAGACATGTTGTTTGGTCTTCAAATATGTATTTTTTTCATGGGCAAGGTCATCCAATTTGAAATTTCTAAGGGAAAGTATATTTTGCCTTCTTGATCAACTTCAGAAATTCTTCAAAATCAAAAAGCAGAACAGGGGTCTAGGGTCTCAGGATTAGAGGTAAGGATAGAAAACCCTTGACAGACTTTCCTGTTCTTCTCTTACCAAGCCTGGATTGTCAGTTCAGAGTGGGCACAAACCATTGGTAGTTTCATTACCTAATGAAGGTTGGTACGGGGGAAGCCTAGAGTTAAACAGGAAGTCCTGACCACTCCAGAGACTGTTTAATAACATGAGGTTTCCAAGTGACTAAAGGATTAATGTTAGGCAAAATTTTGCCTAGGGACCAACTGAAGAAAGAGGGGATCTTGTCTTGGATTGCCTGGTAAAGAACACAGAACAGATAGTCCAGGCATTGCATAGAGTTCGGCCTAGTTCCCTTTGACCTCCTTCCTTTTCTTAGTTGGTGCCAGGTACATTGTCAATGAAGTTAAGAGACTTATGCTATTCCCTCTTAGTTTAAGAAGTTTAAGAAGGAAAACTCACAGTTTAAGAAGGAAAACTCTAGACTGAGCTCTGGAAAGCTGAGACAGTTTTTTGTATGCATCTCTCCTTCTTACTGTATTTATATTTTATTCCTTTTTCTTGCTTCTTTCTGACTTATTTGTATTAGCCCAAAGAGCTGCTGTTTGTTGTTTACAGATATCCAGAATCTTCACTAGTAGGATAAACCAGGGGCAGGTACATATCTTTGCCAATTAGAAGCTATTTCAGTATAAACTGTTTCAAAATAAGCTAATTTTATTTTCAGTATCAGGCAATGCTAAATTATAACCATACCAGTGAAGTATTAAAGAATAGCTTATTATAACTGTGCTTACTAACAAATCAGGATAGGAAGAAATGGCACTGAAGCACAAGTAATTTAAAGGAATTTGATAGATCATGTTCTGGCTTTATAGACTAAGTGCTTTTTAAGAAAAATTGATTAAAACCCCAGTCTTCCTATTATTGAACAGATCTACTAAAACAGACTGGCACAGAGGGCCCTGGGTTAGAGGTCTTCTCTCCTATTTGAGTCTGAAGTACAAACATGTAGTTCACAAGAGGAGAGACTAGGCACTTTTATTCTGTTCAAAAATGATATTTACCTTATTCATTTTTGTGCATCATTTAGTAGCATTTTTACTCTTTTCTGATCCTCATTACAGCAATGTTAATATCCTTATATCTCCTTTATAGATGAGGAAAACAGACTTGGAGAGGTTAAATGACTTGTCCAACACAGTCCACCACAAACTGTGAACTTCCAGGGTCCCTCATCTCCATTGGGTAATTAATGAGAAATTAATGAGTCTCTGTAGTCTTGCTGTCCCTAGGTGCTTTCCGACCATCTGAACTCCACACACTGAATGAGTAGATCTGAGGCACCTTGGCCTGCATCTGTTTGAGGGCAGAGGACACCTAGTGTCTTCAAGAACAGGTGGGATCTTAGATTTGCTTGGAAAAGAACTCTGGATACTCCCACACATGTTAGTAAAGGTCTCTGAACAGTCTTATCCCGCTACTATCCTGTGGGTACAGACCCTAAGTGTTACTTTCTTGCTTTGAAAGAACTGTCTTTTTGGCCTAAATTTAGAGCCAATTGAGATATTGGCATAGGGACAGACCTTTGGAGGTCAAACTCTCAGCTTTATTATACATGAAGATTATACTGGCTTAGAAGTGTGGTGAAATGGGCTTTCCGACACTCCCCTGAATGGAATTTAGCCCTTAAGTTGCAGGCCTCCTCTAACACACTGTACCTGGAGAAGAATAGACTTTTATGCCCCCTGCTTCCTTATAGGAAGGGGCTTGGGCTCTCTGCCCAGCTTTTCTTTCCAACTCACCAATCAGATAGCTCGCTCCTCTCCCTGGGAGAAATGGAGAGGAGAGAGTCCAGGAGTAAGAGTCCAGCAAAATCTCTGCTCATGGAAATCTGAAGAGTGGGAGGCAGTATTCCTTCCTTAGAGTTATTTATCCCCCCATCTCATCTGACAGTTTCCTAGGTAGCTTCTGCACCAACATTTACAATGCTCACATATCCTTAGTTGAAAACTGATTACTATTGAGCCTTTATTACACAGAGGTGGCTTTCAAATAAGTTTATATTAGAGATCTTTTGGGCAATTCTGAAACATTAATAGCTATTCAATTGGATAGATAATAGTGACTTTTATATAATTGATTTTATCAAATAAGTAAAGAAAGTGAAAATGTAAGGAATAATTTAGAGGGTCAGCGAAACAGAAGACCCTCAGAGATGGATTGACAGAGTGGCTGCAACAGTGGGCTCAAACATAGCAATGGTTGTGAGGATAGCACAGGACCAAGCAACGTTTCATTTTGTACATGGAGTAGCTATGAGTTGGATCCGACTTGACGGCACCTAACAACACAAGAATACAGCATTACTGTATATTGGTTTCATAGGCTTTTATTCATTTTAAGCACAAATCATAAAAATCTCTTCTCTGCCTTTTAATCAGCAGGTCTCATGATACAGATATGGTAATAGTTGGTCACCACATTACAAGGAAAGTGCAGAGAAACTCTGCCAGGTCAGAAAGTGTGAGTGTGTATGTGGTTCTTTTCCTATCAGGTGAGGCTGGGCAGTTCCACATTCCTGGAGAATTACAGTAATACATATATTTACCCTGTTATTTCCATGAGCTTACCTGATTTCACAACTACCTTGTGAAGTAGTCACTACAGGTTCTACTGTCCCCATCTTACAGATAAGGAAACTGAAAGAGGGGTAATGTGAATTGTTCAAGGTTACTGAGCTGGTAAGTGGTGGAGATAAGAATTTTTTTCTTTAAAACATTACTTTCATGTTTCAAAATTTACAAATCAGTTTTTCATGATAAAAGTGGCAGGTAAAAGAGGAGAAAAAGCTATCCCTGCCTAACCTATGCCAGTACAGATTGTGTGTTCTCAGGAGGTAGAAACAAAGTCTCCTCCAGGTAAATCATTGGAAATGGCACTGGGAGTCTGAAATCTGGTTATCTAGAAGTAAAATTTGGGGGGAGTCAGTGCATTCTGGTAAATCTTAGATTGGGGCTCTTGAGGCAAAGGGGACCTGGTGCCCCTGAGAAAGGGAGAAACTTTCTCTGAATGAACTTACAAAGAATCCAGAGTTCCTGTCTGCCTTCTGCTTCCTTGATCCAGAGTAGCCCCTGATACACATTCTCAAATCTTTATAGATAATACAATTCTGACATGTTGACTATCCTATGAGGAATATAACCTCTGTGTCCCAAATGGCTAGGTTTTTCTACTTCTCTGCTTGACCTTGTAACTATGAAGGTTTTAATAAGAAAAAACCTTTAGAAAGAATTGCTTTAGATGTTCTAAACTTTTTGTTCATACTCTATCCTCCATGTTGACATTTTATTCTTTCTCCACTGTGATCATTGCTAACTTGTCTGGTATTACACAGTTGATTAGATAAATGAACAAACAAAGGTATTATTAAAATAAATTTCTTTAGTTATATACCTGACAGCTTTTAATTATTGAAGGCTATTCAGTTAGTTATAAAATAATGATAATAATGGCTGAAATTTCTTGAGGACGGCTATGTGGCAGGCACTAATCTAAGCAAAGTATGTGTATTAGTTCATTTAATTCTCTGCACAACCTATGAAGTAGGACTTTCACTAACTCAATTTTACAGATGAATGCCAGAGAGAAAAAGTGACTTGCCATGGTCACATGTAGCTGGAGGCGGGGCCAGAACCTGAATGAAAGGGGTCTGATTCTAGAGCCTAGATTCCTAGTCAGCACATTAAATGTAGCTTTTTTGCAAGCAGGTTTACTAAGCTGTTAATAAAGAAAGAAGTGGAATTGAAATGTATGTGATAATATTAGTATACCCCCAAATCTTTATCAGTTATGTATTGGTTTTGCATTTTTTTCCTTTTTAAAATATAAGAACAAAAAGCTCATTTTGCCTTTTAACTAACATGTCTCCTAAGTTAGAAACAGGAAGAGCCTTTATTGAAGATATATTAAGAAATGCACCTGAGCGGAGCTCCGACAGGTCAGGAAATATGAGTTTGCCACCCCTCTGGGATTGGCTGGGCATTCCTGGCTTTCAGAGCCACGGTTGTTCATTCGGGTAGGACCTGAGAGTTCACAAAACAAGCTGATAACAACCATTGCTTTTGTTGCTACAGCACACATTGTGAAGTGGGAGGGCAGGAACTATTTACCCACTTCAAAGATGAGGCTGTGGACTCAGAGAGATTAAGTGTCTTTCCGAAGGTCAC